CTCCAGAGTCCTGGCTCCAGACACCCAAAGCCCAAAGTTCTAGCCAACTAGGGCTTGCAAGCGCATTAGCAGAATCACCTATCAGCACCTCTGCAAAACTCCAACTGTGCTCCACTCCAGTGCAGGTCACTTGGCCTCTACCTACCCACACATAATGCCATCACCCAGCTCCCTTGACCCTACCCAACACACTGGTGCTGGAAGCAGGCTGCCTGAATCTTGGCTCACCTCTATCATTATATTTGATGGGGGCAGCTCCCATATGGGATCTCTAGCAGGTCAGATACCAGGTTTTCAATGCCCACCCCCCAGAGACAGTACCCAACACACTAACTGCCCAATGCAAAAAAATACAACTCTCAGTTGGACAGGTGTGCAGTGCGACCAGGGAGCCACCCTCAGGAGCCCTAGTGTGAGAGGTCCCTCAGTCAGGAATGGCTAAGGGAGAGGGAGACAGTGCTAAAGTTTGGAGCCTAACAGAGAGACCAGGAACTAGGAAATCTCCAGGCAAGATAAAGAGATAGTACTGAGTGCTCAAGTCATACAAGTAGTCCCCAAAAGAGATCCATGCAGTGCAGTCTCCCTGCAGGGACTGACGGGTGCCACTCCCTGATTCCAGGCGCCCTGAACTAGGACCAGCCTTTCCACTTTGGTTACCTCCACCATCCTGTGGGCAGAGACACCAGCTTACAACAGACATTCCCACCTATTGAACGAGAAGAGAAACAGGAAAGAAACTGATCTCTAAAACTAGTAACAATCCTGGTTTCTTCATTTGAGTATTTTTTTCCTCCTTTTTTTCTACACCTCTATCCTCTGGGCCTCACATCTACAACATATGTGAAACCAAGAACTTTGCACGAAATAGGATTTTGAGGACTGAGTCATCTGAATAATATAATATAGAGGGTTGTATATGCCCTTTCTTTTTTCTTCTTTTTTCTTTTCCCCTCCAAATTTTACTATTACTTTCTTTTTTTCTTCCCCCTCCAAATTTTACTATTTTAACATCCTGTATTTTTCTAAACACATATCTGAGTTTGTTTTATGTACTCTTCTGCCTTCCCACATACTTGTGTACCCTAAATTACATCCTGTCTATTATCTTGCTTCCTATCCTCTTCATTAAATTTCTCTTTTGCACTTCCTAAGATATATTTACTTGATATTCTCACTTTCTACCTCCTTAGCATATCGTCCCACACCCCACCACTGGTCCATTATTCACAATCAGAAACTATAAACCCTATTACAAAATTACTGATTATATTATAGATAATAATTGAATCCAACATTTCTGTACATTGAGACTAAATGGTAAACATCTTAATAATAACAAATGGTTCATAGGTCATATATTGTTGATATTGGGCTCTGTTAACATTGGCCTTCCCAACAAAGGAAAGGTCATGGAACTCCACAAGAGCACTACAAACCTATAGTGTATAAACAATAACACCCTGGATACACACGAGCGACATGAAAAGACAACAGAAGAAAGTGCCTCAAACAAATCAAGACAACACATCATTAGAATCATTGGCATCCACAGCAGAAGAAATTAAAGAGAAGGAATTAAGGATGAAAATGTTTAAAATGTTCTGTGAACTCAAGGAAGGTATAAGAGAGCAAATACAAGCAGTGAAAGATGACTTTGACAAGGAGCTACATAAACAAAACTAGGAAGCAAATGAGCACCTCAACATGGAGATAGAGGCTCTAAAAAAACTAGAAAGAAATCCTTGAAATGAACGAAACAATAAACCAAATTAAAAGCTCAAATGAAAACATCACCAACAGAATAGGCCACTTGGAACATAGGATAATGAAGACAAAATATATAATCTTGAAAAGATCATAGACCACACAGTGATAATGGTAAGAAACCATGAGCAGAACATTCAATAAATATGAGATAGCATAAAAAGACCCAATTTAAGAGTTATTGAAATACAGGAAGGCATAGAGATCCAAACCTAAGGAATGAACAATCTATTCAATGAAATAATATCAGAAAACTTTCCAAACATGAAGAATAAATTGGAAATTCAAATTCAAATAGCCTACAGGATGCAGAATGTACAAAATCATAACAGATCCACACCAAAGCACATTATAATAAAAATGACCAACATACAGAATAAGGAGAGAATTTTAAAAGCCACAAGAGAAAAGAATCAGATTATATATAAGGGGGAAACAATTAGGATAACAGCAGATTTTTCAACACAGACACTGAAAGCTAGAAGATCCTGGAACAACAAGCTCTGAAAGAAAATAGATGCCAACCAAGAACCTTGTATCCAGCAAAATTAATCCTTCTCTAAAATAGACCATATAATATGCCACAAAGAAACTCTTAGCAAATACAAAAAAGTAGAGATACTACCATGCATTTTATCAGATCATAATGGAATAAAATTGTAAATCAATGACAAAATAAAGAATAAAAATTACTCCAACACCTGGAGACTAAACAATATGCTACTCAATGAACAATGGGTTACAGAAGACATCAAGGAGGAGATTAAAAAATTCTTAGAGGTAAATGAGAACATAGACACAACATATTGAAATCTCTGGGACACTATGAAAACAGTACTAAGAGGAAAATTCATTGCATGGAGTTCATTCCTTAAAAGAAGAAAAAGTCAACAAATAAATGACTTAACATTAAATCTCAAAGCCCTAGAAATACAAGAACAAATCAGCAGCATAAGTAGTAGAAGGCAAGAAATAATCAAAATTAGAGCTGAAATCAATGAAATCAAAAACAAAAGAAACAATTCAAAAAATTGACAAAATAAAAGTTAGTTCTTTGAAAAAATAAATAAAATTGACAGATCCTTAATAAAGATAAGGAGAGAGAAAACTCAAATTACCAGCATATGTGATAAAAAAAAGGTAATATCACAACAGACACTATAAGAACACAGAGGGTAATTAAAAATTATTTTGAAAACTTCTACTCTAATAAAATATAAGATATTGAAGGCATTAACTAATTCCTTAAGTCACGATTTGTCCAGATTGACTCAGGATGATATACACAATTTAAACAAACCAATACCAAGTGAGGGAATAGAAGATGCCATCAGAAGACTATTAACCAAGAAAATCTCAGCAGGTAGATACACAGCTGAGTTCTGCAAGACCTGTAAGGAAGAACTAATACCAATACTCTACAATTTATTTCAGGAAATAGAAAAAGAGGCAGCACTTCCAAACTCATTCTATGAGGCCAATATTACCCTGGTTCCAAAACCAGGCAAAGACACATCAAAGAAACAAAACTTCAGATAAATATCTCTAATGAACATAAATGCAAAAAATTTCAATAAAATTCTGGCGAATTGAATACAAAAATGTATCAGAAAGATCGTGCACCATGATCAAGTGGGATTCATCCCAGGGATGTGAGGTTGATTCAACATATGGAAATCAATAAATGTAATTCATCACATCAATAGACTTAAAGATAAAAATCATATGATCATCTCAATAAACACAAAAATAGCATTTGACAAAATGCAACACCCCTTCATGTTTAAAACACTAGAAAAACTAGGGCTAACAGGAACATATCTCAACATTGTAAAGGCTATCTACACTAATCCCAAGGACAATATCATTCTAAATGGAGAAAAATTGAAGACATTCCCTATAAAAACTGGAACAAGACAAGGATGCCCTCCTTTACCACTTCTATTTAATATAGTTCTTGAAACACTAGCCAGAGCAATTAGACAAATTAAAGAAATTAAAGGGATATGTATAGCAAAAGAAGAACTTAAATTACCACTATTTGCTGATGATATAATTCTCTACCTGAAAGACCCCAAAAAACTTCACCAGAAAACTTCTAGAACTAGTAAATGAGTTCAGCAAAGTATTAGGATATAAAATCAATACCCATAAATCAATGGCATTTCTGTACATTAGTGACAAATCCTCTGAGAGAGAAATGAGGAAAGCTACCCCATTTACAATAGCCTCAAAAAAAAAATAAACTTGGTAATCAACTTAACAAAAGAGGTGAAAGATCTATACAATGTAAACTACAGAACCCTAAAGAAAGAAATCAAAAAAAGACCTTAGAAATGGAAAGATCTACATACCTTGCTCTTGGATAGGCAGAATTAATATTATCAAAATGACCATACTACCAAAAATACTATACAGATTTAATGCAATTCTAATCAAAATCTCAATGGCATTCCTCATAGAAATAGAAAAATCAATCATGAAATTCATCTGGAAAAATAAAAGACCAAGAATAGCTAAAGAAATCATTAGCAGGAAAAGTGAAGCAGGTGATATCACTATATCAGATCTTAAACTATACTATAGAGCAAAAGTAACAAAAACAGCATGGTATTGACACCAAAACAGACCGGTAGACTAATGGCACAAAATAGAGGACATAGAGACTAACCCACAAAATTAAAATTACAATTATCTTATATTACACAAAGGTGCCAAAAACATGCATTGGAGAAAATACAGCCTCTTCAACAAATGGTGCTGGGAAAATTGGAAATCCACATGCAACAAAATAAAATTAAGCCCTGTCTCTCAAAATGCACAAAACTTAACTCAAAATGGATCAAGGACCTAGGAATTAAGCCAGAGACTCTGAGTCTAAAGGAGAAAAAGTAGGCCCCAATCTTCATCATGTGGGAGTAGGTCCCATCTTCCTTAATAAGACTCCTATAAGTGCAAGAATTAAAACCAAGAATGAATAAGTGGAATGTTTTCAAACTAACAAGCTTCTTCTCAGCAAAAGAAACCATCAGTGAGGTGCATAAAGAACCTACATCTTGGGAGCAAATTTTTACTCCTCACACATCAGGTAGAGCACTAATCTCTA